CAGCCTGCCATGTGACTCTCTTTGTCTTGCTAACTGGGAAAGCCCACTTTGCCTTCCCTCGTCTCCTGCGTGGCCCCTTGTCCATCTCCCCTGCTTCTGCCTGGGCCACAAATGAACAACTGATGTGTTGCATCATAAACATGAAAATCTCTTTCTGTCTCTCTGCCCCACCCCCAACAGGGTGATCTGTGGGAAGACCTGTGCCTGAGACAGGACATTCCTCACCCCTCCTTCCCTGTGAGGGCATCGCCAAGGCCCTGTCATGTGGATTCCACATACAGGGCAGATTAATTGGAAAAAATGCCATGTTTGGTCACAGGTGGATTCTGTTTGTGCTAATCTTCTTTCTTCTGCCCTTCCCGCAGCCATGAAAGAACTCACTACTCGTTCCTCATAAATCCCTCTCACCCCATTCCCCCCCCCCAAAACTAGGGATTTCCCGCCCCAGGCAGCATCGGTTTTATAATATTCTCCTTCCTGGTGCCTCAGATGTGGCAGTAAAATATGAGACCACCCACAGAGCCAGCATCGTGGTAGAATCAAGAGCTTCCCCCACCTTCTTCCCAAGGCCAAGGACTTGATTGATTGGCTGAGGTATTCAGGGAGCTCCTTATGAGATTGAACATATTAAGGCATTAGGAGGAGGCAGCTAATGGGAGACAAAGCCCTTGGGCACAGTGGGTTCATCCATTTTGCCTGAGGTCAAACAGCCAGTCAATGACAGAGGCAGCAGCCCCAGCCCCCAAAGCCATCTAGAATTCCAGACCATCCCTGCCCTTCCCTCTGCCAGACAGAGCTGTTCAGAGGCAGCTCAAGCCTGAATGAGCCCCCGGCAAGGAGGCAGCAGTCTGTGTGGCCCATCAGGAGACAGACTTCTGACTCTCAGCCAGGCAGGGGGATGGACTGCCTGACCCTCAGCTTCGGCCCCAGCCTGTCTGCCAGGGTCTGTGGTAAACATTCCAGGGATGGGCAAAACAAGTGTTTCTCCTGGAAAGGTAAGGACCGTCGAGGCCAGAGCTGCTTGGGTGGTATTGGTGTGGTGCAGAGTGCTCTGGGTTCCAGGGTAGAATCGAGTTGAGGGCTGCAGCTGTGCAGGTTGGACATCGTACAATGACCCCACATCGTAATCCATGTAGATGTGTAAATTCATTGCAAAGGCGTGCCAGTAGATGGCAGTAAAGTGTCTTAAGGAAAGGCTGCCCAAGGACTGTCCCTGGAAGACATTGTTCCTTTTTACCAGGTCAACAAACTTTTGTTAAGCATGTGTCTCATGCCTTCGCTCCTTGTGCTGGATACTGGAGATACAGTAAGCATTGAGGTTCAGTCTCTGGTTTCCAGGAGCTCACAGACTAGGTATTTGGGGGCAGGGGAGAGACAAGTGATGGGCCGTGACAACACGGAGTGATAAGTGTTGTAATGGTTTTAAGTACATAGTGTTATAGGCGCCAAAGAGGGGGATGCTCAACCCAGCCAGCAAGTGAGATGCTGACAAGGAAAACCACTGAGCATGTATCACCTGTGAGGGACTTGGAGCATGAGAATGAAGCAGCCAGGCAGAGGAGAACGGGTAGCCACGGAAGCAGAGAGGACAGCATGTGTGAAGGGCCAGAAACACAAAAGCATAGGACGTATTTATGAAAGCGGAGGAAGTTAGGTATGGCCCTGAAGTAAATGGAGAAGTGGACCATCAGTGAGGGTCCTGATCCTGAAGGATCCTGGGGCTCTGGACCGAATCCCCAAAATCTTAAAGTTTGAGACCCCTTAGAGGTCATGTGCACACAGACTTCTCCATCTGGAGCATGTGGGAAGTGATCCCTGCCTTACCACCTCCCAGGGTTGTCATGAGGGTCAGAGAGGAAGAGGACCACCTCTGTTACCATCACCATCCGTCACGCATCACATCTGTGGGACAGATCAAAGGGAGGTGAATCATAATTCTGCTTGGTAGCCCCCAAGAGGGTAAAATTGTTTTGTTTGTTTGTTGTAGATTCTGCTTCAGGCCCAGAGCTACATGCTTGGGGCTTAGTATGTGCCAGGAACTATCCTAAGTGCTTTATATGTCTTGTTTCATCTAGTCTTCACAACAACTCTGTGAAGTAGTTACTACTATTATGCCCATTTCCCAGATGTCTAAACTAAGGCATATGGAGGTTGACAGATTTACCCCAAGTTGCCCAGCAAGTGAGTGAAAGAACTGAAATTGTATCCAGGATTTCTGCCCTGAGTCTACTGCCCTCTACTACTTTGTTGCATAGAGGATTAAGTGAATTTCTCCCACAACCATCCCTGGTGGATACTGTCACCACTTGACAAGAAACTGAGACCTCTCAGAAAATTAAGTGCCTTGTCTTAGAACACATGGTAAGTGAGTAGTAGAGTCAAGATTTTGCCCAAGTCTGTATAATTCCAAATCTATGCCTCCCAGTATGGAATCATAGTTTACCATCCTGAGGTCTCAGGCCCACCCAAGACTTCTTTTAAACGCAAGCTAGAGAAACATCTGCCCTGGATCCTCTTGACAGCCACACCCCTCTTGGTAGGCAGAGGATGCAGCAGAGCCAAGATGATATAACCCCTAAGACCCTGCAGCTGCACCCTTAGACCATGCTCTGGTGCCTAAGCCCTAGAATCCCCTGCTCAAAGGGACCTTGGCCCAATTCCAGGGCCTGTACAGGCCAATTTCTTGGTATATCTTCCCAGCAGATGGCCAAAGGGACAACCATTTGGGGAAGGTAGAGGAGTAGATGAAGCTTGGCCACATGGTCTGGGCCATCAGCGGGTAGAAAATCAGGGAGAATCATGGGTGAAGACCAGGAGCTAAGAGCTGCCAATCCCCATGCCTCCCTGGGCTGGGTGGAACTCTAAGAATTCTAGGAATCTAAATTCTGAGTCCTCAAGATCATTATGAAGTTGAATTTGTTAAGAGAGGAAGACAGACATATTTTATTTAAATGTTTGTTAGCTTCATTTATAAATTTTAAATATTAGACGTATGACACATAGGACTTCATTTGTTGTTTTACTCCAGGCCCCACAAATACTAGAGATGGGCCTGTCCCAGTGTCTGGAATTTGCTGACCCAACCTTTAAGGATTCGTGATACAATTTACAAACCATGTGAAAAGGTTCTCTTTGCATGAGACTGGTCGCATAGACACTTTATTGGAGACTATTGCTGGGAGAAAAAAAAGAAATCTTGCTTTTAAGTCATACTAAAAGTTCCTGTACCACTAAAGTCCTGCCTAGCTGATATCTAAGCCCATGAACATTTTAAGAAAAGTGGCATCTAAGAGTGTCAACCAGTGACTCAGACAGTCTTGGGAGTAGTCTGGCCTTTCTGAGAGTAGATGGAGAGACTTTGGAATCAGACAGACCAAAGCAGTCAGAGAATTTATAGAAAGGATTCTTTCACAAATGGAGACTTGAAAAAATAGATGGTGACATCCATCTTCCAGGTAAAAGAATAGAAGAAAAAACTAAGAAAAAGGGTCTTGAATGTCATGCTTACAAGTTATTGATTAGAACACAGTCCTGTGACCACACCTACCTGATGGGAGAGTTGGGATATACATTGTTTTGTGCCAATCTAGAAGCTCTCTTACTTGGAAAAAGGAAAGAATGATAAGTGGTAAGCAAAGAGCTGTCTCTGTCCCAGAGATTATGGAAATGCTTAACATAGTACCCAGTTTATAGCAAATGATTCAGAACTATGTGTTTCATCATACCAACAGTCAAAATGAGCAAACAGAACCTTTTGCTTCTTTTGTGTGTGGGAGGATATCTAAACCCATAAGCACCCCAACTTTAGCTGCTGTTTTTCAGAGTTAAGCAAAAACACAAATGTGGAATTAGAAGTCCTGAATTAACATCCCTTAGGCAAAGTATTTGGTCTCTCTGTGTTTAGATTTCCTTATCTCTAGAATGGAAATAATAATACCTACCTCATGGTGGTGGTTGTCTTGAGCATTGATGAGAAAGGCTATAGGTAATAATACCCTATAGTACAGTAAGTACTAAGCATTTTTCCATCGGAATCTTTACTCATTTATTCATTCAAAATATTAGCTGAGCTCCAACTGTGTGTTAAGCACTCTGGTAAGTGTTGAGAAGAGAATGATGAATAAAATAGATTGTTCCTGACCTCAAGGAGCTGTGTTAGAGCTAGGTGGAACATAGGCGGTAAACACAATTACTAGTTATAATTCATTATCATTGTCATAAGTATAACAAAAGAATATGAAAAGAGAGTCTATATCAGACGAGAGATGAATCATGGGTCAAGATTAGGATGTTCATGAAGAAAAATGGGCAAGTGGATGGATCTGAGAAATAATTAAAATCTAGAATTGATGGGGATAGGAAGGGAGAAAGAGGTAACAAGGATGATACCCATGTTTCTGCCTTGAGTAATGAGGTGTTCTAATAATGAAGAGATAGAGGCAGGAATGTAGAAGAAAGCTGATGGAAGAATAGATAGATGATTGGATGGTTGAATGGATGGATAGATTGATGGATGATGGACGGACAAAGGAACAAATGAGGGCTGCCTTATTACACAAACGGACCAACAGAGAAATGAGTGGATGCATAGATCAATAATAATAAATTGTTGGTGGAATATATAAGGTATAACGCTATATAATACTACTGCTATATTTATTTGCATAGGATTTTTATCTCATTTAATCCTTAAAATAATGCTTAAAAGTGTGTAGCACAGTTTTTCACACTGTTGTTTTACAGAGAATAACATTGAGACACGGGAAGGTCAAGTGACAAGACGAGACTATAGCTTGAGTGTCTAATCTTCCCATCTGCTCTCTTCCTCCTCTACCACAAACAGCTTATAAAAATGAGAAAATTGGCAGTCAAGATGGGAGGAGAGAGTGGGGTGGTTGAGGATGTCCGATATGCACCTCTGGGTCGAGGTTGTGGGAAGAAAGGAGAAGAGGAAAGCAGTTTGTATTCCTATTCAGCGTGTTTCTTCCTCTCCTTTGCAGGTCCAAGTATTTCCATGGAAAGAAAGTGAATGGAGAGATTGAGATTCGAGTGGAACAGGTAGGTGAGAACCTAGTCTTCAGCACTTTCACCCTCACCTCTTCTACCACTGGGGCCCTTCCCATAAGCATCCTTGGTCCCCATCTTATGTGACCATAATGAGCTAGGATTACCAGAAAAGTACCAACCTACACCTGGGAGTCTCATTAATTACAGAATTATTTTGACAGTGATTTTCAACCTTTTAAAATTTGATCAGAGAACCTTTCTTCGAAGGCAATGTTAGATAGGAGCTCATTCTACAAAATAGAGATAGGTAGATCTGCTCTGGCGGAATGAACATGAAGAGCCCAAAAGTTTGTGCTCCATCCTGTTCCCCGAGGTCCCCAAGGCATCTTCTTACAACCACTTGGGTCATGGTTTAGGAACAGAATGGATTTGAATCCTGGCTCTTCGATTCTCTAGGTGTTGGGTAGGTGACAATCTCTCTGGGCCTCAATTTCCTTGTATCATTGTTGTTGGGAGTAAATTGTTGAAAATTTCAAAAGTGAACAAAGTCATGAATACCAGCTCTTGTTATTACAGCTAATATTAATATCCATGTTCCTCATTTTATGTGGAGAGAAACATGGACTTGCTCAAGGCCACATATGGGGGCAGTGGCAGAATTAGTTCTGGAATCTGTGGTCTTCTGACCCTAGTTCGAGGGTTACCCCATTCATTCAGTGAGGACCCCCTCTCTGTCAAGCACTGTGCTCGGCCCTAGGAGAACACATTGGAGCATGGACTTTGGAGCCATACTCTAGGTTCAAATCTCAACACCACCCTTACTCACACATGAACTTGGTTAAGCAATACTTAAGCTCTCTTTCTTGGTTTCTTCATCTATACAATTGGGGCAGTAATAGCATCGGCCTATGTTCTTGGGGTTGTCATTAGGATCAAATGAATTAATCCATGAAAAGTGCTTAGAACTTTAATACTAGTGGTAACTTCATCATTAATATTCATAATAGTGTTAGGGTAGAACTACCATTATTATTAGAATCAGCACCAGCATTATTAGCATACTAATCAGGCACTAATACTAATGTATGGAGCAAATGAAAAAACTAATCAAACTTTGGTGTTAACACCATTGAGCTGGATGTAATAATAACTGCTGAAGTCAACATGTTAGGATATGCAAGTTTTATTTGTTCTTTGTAATCTGAATTATTTCAGGGAATCTGATGTATTAAATGTATGATTTGAATTAAAATATGTGGGGTTTAATGATTTAAGTTTGCAATGAATGTTTAAGTATTTGCAGAAATCTGATTAATTAAATGTAGAAGTTTAGACCTACTTAGATGCTTAGTAAAAATTTAAGTGTTAGATTTGAAAGTCTGGTTGGCTGATATTTAAAGAATCCAGAGAAGGGTGTTTTGTTTTTTACACTAATGCAAAAATATAAGATGTATAAATAAAATGAGATTTGTAAGTTGAATTTTTAAAAAGTTCTTAGAACAGTGCCCAGCACATACAACTTAGTAAATGTTACCGATTCATCATCATCTTCTTCACCATCACCATCATCAAAGGTGAACAATAAATAAGATAAACATGGTCCCCGCTGCAAAATGTATTCAGAAAAGCACAATTAAAACTAGGAACGTGGAACTGTTCTTCTCCCTGTACTGTTTAAGCTCAGTGTTTCAGAGAAACAGAAAGGTCTTCTGAGCATCAAACTGAGTTGGCTTAATATGAAAACACCTACACTTTGAATTTCAATTTGATCTTGTGGCTTTCAAGTGAATCCAATGTCTCCTGGTTTTCCTCCCATGGCAAAGAACAGGTTATTTTTGTTCATTTTGCAAATATTTTTCAAGTCTACTATGCTAGCTAGCTAATGTGCGGGGAATGAGGACATAGAAGCAGAGGCCCTGTCCCCAAAATCTTGTGGTCTAGGAAGGGAGGCGAGGCGAGTCTTGACTGAACTTCCACACAGGTGGAGGTCAGGGAAGAGAGGTCCAGACTTCGTGCTCCGGACAACAGAGGTTACAACCAGTGGAAGACGTCAAAAGGGGCTTTGAGGAGGGACTGGTGTTTGAAATAGGTGGAAGAAGGATAGGATGTCAATGAATGGAGATGGTGACATGAAGACTGTGTAAACCAAGGCGAGGATGCCACAAGTACGGGGTGTGGAATGGCAGGAAGTCCAGTTTGGTTGATTCCAAAACTAGATACTTTGTCTTCTCCCGCCCATACCTTACTCCGCCTCGTAATTCCCTCTCAGGATAAAGAGTGCTCCCATCCACCTACCACCTTAGCCAGAAATCTGCACAGGCTCCCAGGTGGCTCCCTCTCTCTCCACCACTACACCCGTTCAAGGACAGATGCTGCCAACTGCACATCCCATACGTCCTAGTCCATCTTCTGCCTCCCTCTCTCCAACCCCATTGCCTAGATCCCTGACCAGATTGCCATCAACTCTCATCTAATCTTTCTAATCAACAGCCTCACAACCCCATGTTTTGATCCATCTCCAAATTATTCTTTACCCCAAAGCTAGAGTGATCTTTCTTTTAAAAAAAAAATGTAAATTAGGTCCTTTGATGTATTAACTTTAAAATTCCAAGACTCCTTTTCTGAGCCTTGATCCAATCTCAGGCAGGCACCCTGATTATTCCCTGTCATAGCTCCTCAAATATTTCTTAGCCCTTAATCTGTGCTTCAAGAGGGATTATTTGCATGAGGGTAGGGACCCTAGCTGTCTGAATCTTACTCTGTGAAGCAGCACAGGAGCAGGCACAAACTAGAACTGAAGGAAATATTTGCAGAGTGAATAACTGATAGATTCCACAGATTCCAGGCTGCTTGACAGTTTACAAGGGCGATTAATCACTGCTGCTTAATCTCCCCTCAAAAATCTGGGTTTTCCATAAACCATCTGGTAAATGCTCAGTTGCCAGCTGAGCTTACCCTGCCTCATCCCATTATGGCACCCCGAGGCATGTTGTAATTTTCTCCTTTTATCTCAGCACTGCCATCGGCCCAACTTGTAGGTACAAAATCTATGAGCCGGACCATCAGAGGAAATTGCCCTAAGAAGAGTAACTCACCCAGGGGCTCTGGGGGACACTCAGCCAGTCTATGAAGGCTTCAATCACACTGGAAAACCTTGGCTAATTGAGAGTCGTTTGGATTTCCAGCCATGCCCCTCTGTGAAAGCCAGAAGGGAAATTAGCCAGGAAACTAATTAGCAGGTCATTTAAGCAGTTTTCCCTGGAAGACTTACCTTTCCAAACTCATCTTGGAGTCTGAATCTCTTGCCTTTGCCCATCTGTATCAATGGGCAGGTCACTTAAGCATCCCCCCAGAACTCTCACATGCATCCTATTTAGCACTTGGGACAAGTTGGAGGGTGGAAGCCACTGTTTAGTCTGAGCTGGCCTTGCATTTTGGGAGCCTGTCTCCCAACTAAGGGCCAAATTAACCAGATAATTGCACTGTCTGGGTTTTGCTGGACAGAGCGAATGAGTTAGTTGTGGTTGGCCTAAAGGAAGCCTCCACCCCTTCTCTCCACCCTCTTCCCCCCAGTCCCAAAACTGCTTGCCTCAGCTCTTACAGAGCCAGGAATCAAGAAACCCTGGGGAGACCAGTGGGGGGACTGCATCATTTTGCATTCTGTTACCCAGAATGCCCTACTGGCTCTGCGGGGGTCTGGCAGCAGTGTCCTAGGAAGGCCTGAGAAGATCAGGCCAGGGTGGTTGGCATGTCAAGCTCTCCTCTGTTTATATTTGAGGCAAAGGGTCTTTTTCTCCACAGGCACAAGTCACCCCTCTGTGGGACCAAGAAATGAGGTTGATGAATGGATTAATATTAAGTAGACTCACAGTTCTGAGAGATTAGTGAACTAGGGCTTGGTGGGATAGAACCTCAGACTCTAATTAAAAAAAAAAAAAGACTGAAATCACCATGGTCAGTCTTTCCTCAGTATTAATGGAATTTCCAAGTCAGAAAGAACAAAAATGCTTTGCTCCAGGAATGAAGAGAAAAGCAAGAGAGGTATAAACCCTGCCCTTGAGCAACTCCCAATCCAATGAAGGAAGCTAGATAAACCATAAATTTACATATGAATGCCAGCGGCTCCCTTTCAGTCCCTGTCTTTGTGTGATTTTGGGTTGGGGTGGGATTAGGAAGATGTGTGTGGATCCCAGGGAGGCTGCTGGTTAGAGATCTGTTCATCTTCTGTCCTTTATGTATTTCTTCAACATAAATGTCTTCTGGAAGGAAAGGTGAGATTTTTTTTTTCCCTTAAAATATTGTAAACATTTCAGACCCTGTATTTATAGTTTTTTTATACCACTTCAGCATCCAATCCGCAATTCTTTCTGGATCAACCTTTTTTTAGAATGAAACTTAGCTGAAGATACTGACCATAAAGACCATGTGATATGTCAAGAAAGTTGTCAACAAGACAGAGAAATAGAGGTTAGATGTTAATTCAACTTGGTGGGTTGCTAGCAGGTTGAACATCATCTCCATTAGGAAATGATTACTTGTTAGAAATATACCTTAAGAGAAAATCTATGGAATGGCTTGCTAAAAGGTTCTGCTCTCGGCTTACTTGGTTCTTGTCCTTCTTTTTTTTTTTTTTTTTTTTGAGCTGGAGTCTCACTCTGTCGCCCAGGCTGGAGTGCAGTGACACGTTCCTGGCCACCGCAGACTCAACCTGCTGGACTCCGGCAATCTTTCTGCTTCAGCCTTCCAAGTAGCCAGAACTACAGGCATGCACTATTACACCCAGCTAATTTTTTGATTTATTGTAGAGTTGAGTTTTCGTCAAGTTGCCCGGGTAGGTCTCAAACCCACGGGCTCAGGCAATCCACTCACCTCGGCCTCCCAAAGTGCTGGGATTACAGGCTGAGCCGAGTTCTTCTCCTTAACAGTGGCTTGAAGTGGGTGAGAGAATATCCTGGATTACATTTGACATGATCAAATTGAAAGGGGATATAATATGGGAGCCCATTCAAAAACTCAGCTGCAAAGGTGTAGGATTAGAGAGACCTAGCTTA